TTCCCTCAGGGAGGTCTGCACTAAGCTCAGCCCTCAGCCTCTTTGCTTGAAGAACCCAAGCCTGTTACATGACTGTTCTTGTTTAGAGGGCAGCACCTCATGAACTCTACACTCCTGAACTCTGGCCGTAATGTCACATATATGTACTTTTTTTTTTTTTTCTGCACAGAAATTATAGTTGGCAATGCAGGAGGAATAACTAAACACAGAAAATCAAACACGTAGGTGGAAGAAGTGCAGCCAAGCCCTGGGACCCCAAGGACAAGTCTGGGCTGCCTGCAGAATTTACAGGAAAAAAGACAGCACAAATATCTGGATTGGGGGCAGGATCAAGATGCAAAAAGGATTTGAACTCATCCCTAGCACATGATAAGTATTTGGCAGACTGATAGCATGGGGAATTGCACATGTAGTTCTCATTAGTGAAAAACACACTGAAGATTCAAGTGTTTTTAACGTTTCTCAAAGTCTTCAACTTGCATTCACTTCAGAAAATCTACTGTTGTTGTGGAATAATTTTTACGTTTCCTCTAATACAATGCTCTCCAGACAGCTTAAAATTTATAAAGGTTGTAAAAGAGCCACCAGGAGATTTTTCATGTTTTTCCACATATGAATCTCAACACTTATGTCATATATTCTACCGCTTTGGCCCACAACTTCAGGATTCAATTCTTCCAACTATCATTTCCTTTTGGATTGAACCTGGTATGAAGATGTCCCTCATGAAAACTCTGAGCAAGGGCTAGGCAGACAAACAGAGAGGTCTGAGCAAATGAGAACATCTTCTAATCCTTTGAAAAGAGCAAGCAGGAGATTTTGGCAGGAGAACTACCAGCATGAAACAAGACTTTGCTAGAAACCTTGCCGTTGCCTGAATTAACAGTGCAGCACCAAGGAAGGCTGATGGGGAGATGCTGGGAAACAACAGCATCACCTAGTCCATGGGCAGTGACAAAGGAATAACTGCACTTTTCATCACAGTTCAGTAGTTTTTAACCAGGTATACAGGGGACTTACTCAGTAGTGTAGCAAAAGTCAGTTTGCCCGTGTCTTCTATTAGAAGAGACAGCCCAAGTACAGATCATTGTATGAAAATTGTGCGTTACACATTTCAAATTCTGAGGGTGCCATGGAGAACCTGAAATCATAAAAGAAACACAGTCATAAACTGCAGATCAAAAATTACTAACTGTAAAACAACTGGTATTGTTCACATCTACAGCCATTCTTCTTACATTTTTATTGCAAGCATGTCTGGCCAGTATTTTAAAACCGTTGAATGATTTGTGTGCCTGATTACAGACAGACACATAGTGCCAGATTTCTAGAAGCACCTAAATTCTAGGTTTATACGTGTGTACAACAACACAGGCAGCTGTCTCTTTCTACAACATCCCTTCCTAGCCTAGCCTAATAAGCAGGCTTTGGGCCAATGGCAAAACTGCAAGCTTCGATGATAAACTTAGTGAGTTTTTTGCTCTACTCTGTTGTCCCACACTCAGGGCAATTAATGACAGAGGGGCAATTAATGATAATGTGTGAAATTGTTGCAGGCAGCTGGCATACAGCAAGAAGGTGTCAAAGCAGATATTTGCAGCACCAGCATATGCAGACTATCCTGTTGCATTAAGGAGAATTTAATACTCAATTTTGCACTGGTTTACAAGATGCCACTGGGTGCTGGAAAGCAAAGACCAGGCCTGGCAGTACCTTCAGCCTTAGGACAACGTGGGACCACAGGCATGACAGTTTTTGAATACACATATGGTAGGAAAGCAATGTAAATACATGGTGTCAGTACAGAAGGCACAAAAATAAAAGGTAATTAGTGAATTACATTGCAATAAACTCACCTATCTCTTGGCCATATATTAAGCTTCTTAAACATAAAAAAGCTAGTGCTAAAAGGCAATGAAGGCTTGAAATCTTCCACATTTTTTTACTGTTTTTTTTTTCAGTACAGCAGTTTCAAGCACGGATAAATATCATCTTCCAACGAGCTGGTCAGTTCTAAAATTAAAAACAAAAACAAAATAACTCTGAAATTCCAGAGCTGGTACTCCACAAATGCCACTTTTTTTCCACCTACTTTTCTTCTTCAGTGCCGCTCCCAGGCGTAGCAACTCATTTTTCTTCGTTGTCTGGCAAGTAAACTTGCTGTCCCAGCCACTCCCTGATGCATACGTTTTTAGTGAGACATTTCAGCCATAACCTCAAGAATCACAGACATGTAAAACTCAAGCATTCATAGGCCTTCATCAGGACTATTCGAGGCCAGAACAGAATGGACATGGAAGGACATTCACAAAGGGTCTTGTATACCTTGAATGAAAATGTACCCTGCTTCAGATATAGTTTTAAGGGGGCAGGAGAACGCATTTGTTTTTCCTCTCCTTCCTTCTCATTTTTTATAATGTTGCTACTCAAAGCTATGGGATGCCCAAGACACTTGCAGAACCAGATCTGATCACTCAGGTTCACTGGTTCAACCCATTGTTAAGTAATAATGTTTCGAGGAGGGAAAAAAAACCAAACAGGAAAAAAGGAGAGCCATTTCTTTACCAAAAGATACCTGTTGCGGCAGATACTGACTTTAGGTGAAAAAAAAACATCTATAATATTATGTTTAATGTGTTCTTTGAAGGTTAATAGGCTGGCACGTTTTCCAAAGCGAGGTTCAAATGTTTAGTCGGATGTTGGGAACACAACTGGGGAACACATCAGCCACCACCAGTTTTTGTTCTCAAAAAAAAAACCTGTAGAAAGCCTTATCCTAAAAACCAGCCAACCCCTGGTGTATTGTGTCCCTGTCACCCAAAAGCTTGGAGTATTTGAGCATCCTCACAGAGACCATAACTCTCACATAGCAAGGAGCCTTCTGCCAATGACCAACAGCAAGAGCTCGGTCATTTTCACATAAGAACATAGCTGAACTAGCCCCTCCTACAGAGTAGTTTTGTAAAACACTCATTTTACCCAGGCTACTTCTTTTAAAATCCTGAAGTGGAAAGGCTCCTGACCTTAGAAATCTCTTTAAGAACTAGATGTACATACTGTCAGAGTAACAGACTTTGTCTCTATAACCTGAAAAGAAACATCTCTTCTCTGAAGTCCTCTGTACCACCAAGTATGCTCTTTCATCCCTGCAACGCAACCAAACACTTTTAATAATTTTTTTTAAGGAATTTTCCCCCAGGGGACAGCTGGGACTGTTCCAGACCCTCTTCTGCCCCTCATCAATCTGCAGTATTTGACAAGAAACATATTAGCACTATGTCAAATAATCCAGAGCTGTTCACAAGGGGCCGCTTCTCTTATTTCTCTTGGTCTTTGTTAACTAGACTAAGAGAAAGGCCCAGGCAGCGCAGGAGCTGAGAGATGCAATGGTAAAGGCCCATGTTACAACTAGAGGGAAGAAACACCCTTAAAACTCAACATTTTATTTTCCCCATGATCTCAATCCACCTGAAGACCTCACTAAAAACATACTAATGTAAGCCATACTACCTCTGGGCACACCTACTTTTTCTTTTTTTGTATGCCTAAAATGTAATATCCTAAAATTTAATAACAAGTGCATGTTTGGGTGAAGATAAATCAACAACCTTTCAGTAGATAAAACATAATAATATAATTTTATCACAAACCTGCCAGTACATAAACAATAATACAACAGGCCCGAAGCCCACTACATTTTGGTGGCTTTCAGGGTCTTCATCTTGTATTTGTTCATGTTAGTAATGAAAACACAGGATGTCACCTCTGGGTTTGAATTCTGCTCACAAATCTCCAACTTCATCAAAACACATGAAGGCCATTCAGACAGACCTGGAAGTTACACTTACTTCTATTTGTGCTGTATATACAAATTTTATCTATTTATGAGTACTTCTTCAAAGGTCATTTCTGGTTTGCAAAAAAGCCCAAAAACAAAATTCCAATTTTTATATCAAATGCATGTGACAGTCACCCGTCAGCTAGCAGAATACAATACAAAATTTTTTTTTAAAAAAGAGAAAGCACTGATGCCACCTGAAGGGAAGAAAACTGCACTGTGAAGCTAAATCCCAAGCCTCTCACTTTGTAAATACATTATCTGTACAAGATTGTGCAAAATCTGTTTGGTCATGCCACGTTTATGAGGCAGGTTCAAGCAAATACATATATGTGTTTCAAGAAAATATGATTTT